AGAGATTTTCCACTAAAATTGAAAAATGAATTTCATATTTAATTTTAAAATCTCCTGAAGATAATAGGCAACCTATCTCTTATAAATGTTGCCCCTCGTAGCTTAAATAAATTCTAAGGTTTCCTGAAGACAACAAACAGACTTAAGATATAGATAGTCAAGGAAGAGCAAGGTATACAATTGCAAAGTCATAGTAGTCATTTTTAAGAGGGCAAGTTTATACAAATCTACTCTATCCCTCCCCAAATTCAATAAAAGTTTACCCCTTCCTTTTAAGAGCTTGCGTAGAAAAAGCAAAAGTGTTGTGCATTTCTTTTCATTTCTCCTTCATTGACTGCATTGTTATTTATCCTCTCACAAAGAACAAAATGTCTACCTAAAATTGCTTGGTTAAAAATAGTATAGAGTTGTCTGAACCACATTGTTTAAAAGCAGCCCTAGGACTAGGCCACATGCTTGTACCTCACTTCTTTAAAAAAAGAATCATAGCAGGAATTTGATAAAAAGGAAAAGAAAAGAAATACCCACGCTTCTGCTTATCGGTAACTAATTTATTCTGTTCTCAAGACCTAAGATGCCAAAAAAAAAAAGCCATCTCTAAATACTTATTTAATTTGGCTTATTATTTGAAAAACAAAGAAAATAAACTAACTCCACATCGCAGGAAGAAAATTGTGATATGTTGGGGCATCTACAGGGAAGGTTTTAAAAAGTCAAGATGATGGCTGTGTTTGTCAATTGAAACTCCAACTTTATTTTTTACTTTGGTTTGTACATGCAATGCATGTAAAGAAAATGGTCAGGGTTTTGATTGCATGGTTGTTCTGCCATCTTGACTTTCTGACCCCTGTGGATATTCAAGGTGACCTATTTTTTTCTACTTTGCATTCTTAGCCACTGAAGTTCCCAGAAATGCAAAATGTATATTTCAGTCAACTAAGAGAATTAAAAGACAAAAATAGATAATGATCAGAGCTTGAGCTGCAAAATACCTTTCGGTTAAATGTACTAACGGACTCTGACTTCACTCAGATATAGTAATACACTGGAGGAGGATGAAACATTAGATAAGGTCTTATGTCATATCCCATTATTAGTTCATTGAACACAAAATAGCCTAAGGCCTTTTCATGACAAAACCTAGCTTCTTTCATAGATCACAAGGACTGAATCTGGAATGCTTTGTAGGCAAAAGAGGAGCTTCACTGAAGAAAGTATAGAGTCATTTAAAGTACCTCCATTTTTCACACCATACCAGAAACTTCACCGATATTATAAAACATTTCCAAAGACAGACAAGACCTGATTCCTTTCCTTATGCTAGATTCTGATTCTATATGATGCTGGTGACTTTTTGCCTTCGAGTCGGTCTGGGCTTCTGGTGATTACATGGCAACGTTTCTCAGAGCTGGTTTGAAATTGCCCAGAAAGAAAATGACTGGCCCTAAATCACCTAGTTGACTTCATGCCTAGGAAGGACTAGAACTCACAATCTCCTGGTTTCTAGTCCAATGCCTTTAACCACTGCAACAAGCTGGTTCTCTTCTATACGATACTAAAATACAGATATAGCACTATATTTGTTTCTAGACCATATCAGTGGATGCCTCATTGTCTACAAGGTAATTCTTGATTTGGCAAAGGGCAATGTGCATTCATGAACATCAGTCTGATTATTTTAGTGCCACAATCTAAATTCCCCATCTTTAAGATTCTCTTGTGAACAAAGAAGGAGAAGAGCTGGTTGGGTTTGAGCACTTAATTATTTTTAGTTATATTACATTAAGAGACAGGGCATCATGCACACTAGTGTTGTTTTAGGCAGTATGCTAGAAAATAAACTTCTCTATGGCCTTAGCTGGAGTACTCTGCAAACATGTATAGAGATAGTATAGATATATTCAAGCAGATAGTATGAAATACTATAGATATGCATGGAAGAATTGACAAAAGAATGGCAAATTTGGAATTGAGATGATTTTAATGATTTTGAGAAAATTATTGCCTTTTCCAAGACAATAAATAAAGTATTCAGAAGGATATTTTCTCCCATTTGTTTTGTTTTTTTAAAAAAATAGATTATAACATAACAATACTTTATTTTTCTTTTTAGCGCCATCAGTGAACTTGCTTTCCTTCACTAAAAGCTTCTTAGAAAAGACCTAATTTGATCTTGAATATAGATGAAATGTTAAAGTTGCAGATATAACTCAAGGTGCACAGAAAGCTTGTAGGTAAATATAAGTTCCTTCTTTATCAGGTTAGATGAGTTATCATCGAATATTAAATTATTGTATATATACAGTTTATGCTCTGCCAGTATTTATTGTAAGTTATCTTTGCATATATGGATTTTTTTAATGCTTTGTAGATAGCAAAAGTGTGAGTAACAGAATTTTAACTATTGCTTTGGGGGAAAAAATAATCATCTACACTGCATGTAGGAAATTACTGTTAATTTCCAAAGATTCCATATAGGAAATTGAGCTTGCTTGATTCTCATAAAAATATTGTGAGATAAAGTTGATGATTTGTAATAATTTCCTAATATCCTGCAAGGCTTTTTTCCTGGAACATCTACCATAATTGTGCATCTCCTATAGAAAGAGTTGATTTTAAAATTATGATAATTATATACATTGTGGTATATACTTCTATGTATTTCTCAGTTAACATCCCCTGTTCTACAAACCAGGGATAATATGACTTACAAGTCATGACCAAAGGCCAAATAGAATCTGACACATTCACAAGGCAACAGTTGGGAAATGACAGTATAATTCAGTTTTGCTCATGTCTTTATTCATCATAAGTAAGCAAAGTCCCAGTGCTTGGCTTAAATACTGTACTGTATAAAGGAAACAAAAGTGATAGTGATTGTGAAACGCCTTATATTGTTCTGTCACCCTAGATAGGCTCAAATAATCTGTAGTTCACCAGATATTTGAGACTCTAAAAATCCTCAATTATGACCAACATCATCAAGAGATTGTAGAAACTGTTATCCAAAACAATCTGCATCACCAGATATAGCATATGCCACATGGTGTTTTTTTTTCAAGACTTTTCAGGATTTGTATTGCATTGCTAATAACTTATTTGCCCCAGCTTTTCATTCATGTGAACTGAGTTCCTTGCCTAAATAAAATGAAACGGATATCGCCTTTATTCCGACCTGAAACTGATAAATATTTGCCTAAATTAATTGTGTGGTTGAAGAAGGATATAGGCCCTGATCTCCATATATTATCCACTGGATCAACAGCTTACATCTGTTTTATTAGAAATTCTGTGTATCCGATAAACAATACTCTTGTCTGTAATATGTACTATTCTTAAGTTCAATGTAAATGTTTTTATTTTAAAACAAGGTAGACTTTGTTGAATCAGATAAGAGGCTTATCTAGTAAAATATTCTACCTCCATTGTAGCCAACCATGAAGCCCACAAGCAGGACATGAAGGCACCAACACACTTCTGGAGGTGTCCCATTGCAAAGTAATGAAAAGCCCATTGTTCTGATTCTGCAAATTTTATATAATGATCAAGAGTAATAATCATTGACAGACTTATTTTTCTTTTCTATGTTTTTAAGATTATTATTCTTGTAGTGTTTAGAACAGTCTCCCCCAAAACATGGGCAGTCTCTTCTTTATTGTCCTTTGGCAAGGCCAGGAAGACTTGGCTTTTCCTCTTGGCTTTGGGACTGGGACATTAGAATGGGATCTATGGCATGGGAATATGTGTCTTGTAGTTTTGGGTTTTTATTGGACCTTAATGTCATTTTAGTTGTTTTTAGTTGTTTCTTTGGTTTATTTTAATGTAATTCTTTTTGATTTGCTGCCTAGAGGCTCTTGGATAGATGGGTGTCCATATAAATTGGATAAATAAATAAGTTTTTTAAAATTATTGGAAAGAAACAGATAAGCATTTCAAGATTCAAAGTAATCTTTTAAAAAAAAAAATCTAAGAACTGATTCGCATTGCAACTCCTTGCAATCATAAATGCAATTTTATGGATTGTTAATCTTTTCTATCATTTTCTCTCTCAATCACTGCATCACCAAATGACTTAGTAGAGTTCCTCTATATAAGAAAAGATATTATGACTTATTATAATGTATTAAAGAGAGAACTTTTAATGTTTTGGCAGGAGAGTGACGTTATTGGGATGAATTAAGCATAATTTGCTTAATTTGCTCTTTTCACCTTTGTGTGTATGCCTACAGTCCAGGTAGCCTGTTTTCTACATATTTTGGGGCTGAGAACTGAATAGACAGATGCACTGCAGTGATGTTCTATCCACATAAAACACAGATTAAATAAATTTGAGAAACATTTATGTCCTTACATTATTAATAATAATAATAATAATAATAATAATAATAATAATAATAATAATAAAGGATAAGATAATGTGTACAGATTAGATGACAACAGACTGTATTCAAATAATGGCTCAGCAAGAAGTAAACGGTGATACTGACTTTTGAGGATCCCATTCAAAATCTAAGCTTTCACTTGCTTGACAAAAGCATTTTCTTCCCATAAGGTAATAAAGGAGAGAGGTATAGGAATGTAGGCATGAAACATCTCCCTGCAATACTTTATCAAAAGAATTCATTGCAGCTGGTTACATTCATGTCAGATAAGCAACTAGGATTGCAGTTGTAAAGCTGATTTTAAAATACACAAATTCATTGTAATTGTTTAATTAGCTTATTTTCCCCCAGTCTATTTTATTGGATAAAAGGATGAATAGACTCTGCCATTTTTTCAGGCTTTAGCCATGATCCATTTCTATTGTATGCTGGTCTGCTCCGCTTTTGAAAACAGACAGGTGCACACAGCAAAAGTCAACCCCTTTAAAGGGAACAATGGGTCTTTTCTGTGCTTCTGAAAGGCAATAGAACAGAATAGTTGGAAAGCCTATATTGCCTATTCTCCTTTTTGTTTGTTTGTTTTGTTTTGCTTTAGATTTTGTTTTGTTTTCCATTTACCTTTTCTGGAGCTGGGAACTGTAAGTGATTGACTTCCAAGGGTGTTATCAAAGGAACCGTCTGAAAACCATCCTCATTGGACGGCTGCTGCTTGTTCTTTTCGTTCAAATTGCTTCCCAGCTTCACCATCCTTAGATCTCACTTTCCAGACCTAAAACATATTGAGGTGATCAGTATTAAAGGGGTAAGAAGGAAGGTGGAACAGAAAGGAGGGGAAATTAAGGACAGAATATGTCAGCTTGCCATATTTCAATAAACCCTGCAGGTCATATGGTTCCCACTTGCATATCTCTGTTAAATTGGAAGGGGGAAAAGAGGGAGGGGGAAGAGGGAGAAGCGTTTTACCTTTATTTCTTCCTTTAAAGAATATATCATCAGGCATAAACCACCCACAAGAGAGTTCAGCTAAGCTTCTGTTGGTTTAGCTCCAAACAAGGGTTGTTTTATATCAAGATCAGGTTGTAGGAGTGAACCTCCTTTGTTGCTAACAGAAAATATCTAAACCAGGGGTGCATTTGGCCCAGGTTTTTATCTGTATATTACATCTATTATTTAAAAAAAAAATCACAGCAACTGCACAAAACCTTTCAAAAGTGATGCTTAATAACAATCATTCTTATAACAACCCCCTCTTCTCTGGCAACTGATATATTCCAGAATGAATGATAATCTATGAACAAATTAACAAAGGAAACACAGTGTCAAGGATATTCAAGAGCCCCTTTTCGTCCTCATTTTTTTTTCTTAGCCATGATGCATCTGCGCCAGTAATCAGGGGCGGGTCACAAATACATGCCTCAGAATCAGACGATCGAGGGGGGGGGAATCCTCCTCCCGCCCCCCACCCCCATCATCCTCCCACTATTTACTTACTGCAGGGCACACCTCGCTCTTGGAAGGAGGTTCACGACGGATTGCGCAAAAAAAGCTGTTTTTTTTAACCCCCCCGGTGGTGCTGAATGGACAGCGCCTCGCTCCTCAGCCGGCTGGTTCCAAACGCTACTGAAAGAGGATCAAGGAGTGAGCGCAGAGACAGCCGCTCGAGTCTGCGGCAGGCAAACACTCCCAAGCTGGGGCGGCGGCTTCCGTGCGGGATCTGGCACCACCTGCTGTCGCCCAGGGCGGCCACAAGAGCTAGCACAGAGAAAAGGAGACGGTGCTTATCTACAGCGCCACCTACAGTCTGCACAGAGCACGGCAGGCGACACTCCAGCTCAGCCTGGCCTGCCTGTCTCCGGCAGCACGCTAAGAGTTTTACGTCTGCACCAAGTCCATCTCCCATCTGCTGTGATGTCATGGACAGATAGGTGACGATTTCAGGAATCTGAGCAGATGTAGCTACAGTAGGCAGAGCCATGTTGCCAAGGAATCATAAGCAGGAATTTTCAAAAGGCTCACTCTTCAAATCCTGAGAAAAAGCATCCTCTGGAAGCTGAGGACCATTGAAACAATATGGTTCTAAGAATGTGCATCCAAATATGGATAAATGTTAAATTAATATAATGCAAATACTAATACCCTTCTAAACAGCCAAGGCAGAGCAATGCACCTATTGAATTCAAGTTAGTCTCAAGCAATATACATGCTTAAGACCAGACCATAACACATTACAGCATAGGTGGCACCTTGCTCAATAGTAGTAACTGTGAGAGGGACCTCGGAGTCCTAGTGGACAATCACCTAAATATGAGCCAGCAGTGTGCTGCAGCTGCCAAAAAGGCCAACACAGTGCTAGGCTGCATTAGCAGAGGGATAGAATCAAGATCATGTGAAGTGTTAATACCACTTTACAATGCCTTGGTAAGGCCACACTTGGAATACTGCATCCAGTTTTNCAAAGATGATTAGGGGACTGGAGGCTAAAGCATATAAGGAACGGCTGCTGGAATTGGGTATGTCTAGTTTAACGAAGAGAAGGACGAGGGGGGACATGATAGCAGTGTTCCAATATCTCAGGGGCTGCCACAAAGAAGAGGGAGTCAAGCTATTTTCCAAAGCGCCTGAAGGCAGGACAAGAAGCAACGGGTGGAAACTAATCAAGGAGAGAAGCAATCTAGAACTAAGGAGAAACTTCCTGACAGTGAGAACAATTAACCAGTGGAACAATCTGCCTCCAGAAGCAGTGAATGCTCCAATACTAGAAGTTTTTAAGAAGAGACTGGACAGCCATTTGTCCGAAATGGTATAGGGTTTTCTGCCTGAGCAGGGGGTTGGACTAGATGACCTTCAAGGTCCCTTCCAACTTTATTATTATTATTATTATTATTATTATTATTATTATTATTATTATTATTATTATTATTATTATTATTATTATTATTATTATTATTATTATTATTATTATTATTATTATTATTATTATTATTATTAAGATTAGCTTGTCTTTAAAACAAGAAAAAGCCTCCTGTAAAGCCTATCTGTAAAGTGGAATAGACATAAGAATGTCATGGATTACATTTCCTCTGGTGTAATATTCATTCTAGGTGTACATGTATCTTGCTGAGTTGCATTTCTCCTTAATTCCAGCTTAATCATTGATCGGTGGTCACTGTTAAATTGAGGGAAACATTTGGCAAAGGAAACAAGTTTCATTTCCAACTTTTGGTGGGAGACAGCCTCCTTTTCTTCCATTTAGCAGCACAGAATTCCAGAGAGCTGACACAATCATGCTCTTTATTTGTACTGTTGAGAATTCCCTCAAAGGAAGATAGAATATGGGAAATAAATACTTTGCATATTGTTGCCAATATTTACAGTGATTTGGAATGCTCCCCCCTCCCAGATGTTATTGTACAGTATAGAAAATATAGTCTTTGTTGTCAGACTCACTGCCATGTGGGTTTAAGTGATCCAAGTCCATTTGACATTTGACAGAGTCACATGGTGTATATTGTTATTATGCTAAACTAATGAACAGAATAAAAATATAGATGTATATAATTATATAAACTTGAAATTAATAGTAGTTGTTGCTCTGGAGTTGGGTGGCATCAAAATTTAATATTGATAATGATAATTATAGTTATAATGATAATGTTAATGATGATAATGATAATGTCAATGATGATAATGATGATGATGATAATAATAATGGGGGAGAGAGGAAGAATTAAGGTTATAAACAGTACCACACACTCACAAATGATAATACTATATTGCTCAACTCTTCATTGGAAGAGAGGAGAGGTGAGATGAGGTGAGGTGAGGAGAGGAGAAGGAGTCAGTTAAGTGCAGATAGTGAATAATCCATGCACAGACACATAATAACTCTCAAATCAATCCCAAAGAAGAACTGAAATTCTGAAGTTCTTTATTCCAACCAATAGCCAAAGCTAGGATGAATAATCCATGTATAGAGAATGTACAATATGAACACCATATGCAGGAGCACAACTGAAAAAACAGTGATTTCCATTTTTCATGTCTCAAGTTACAGTCTTTTGTATACATTTGGCAATCAGTTAGAAACATAGCAGGAAATAAAAGATTGAGGGAATGAGCAAGGAGCTCATTAACTATAATGTTATCCGAATATTAGTAATATGTGGTGATAAGAAAAACTAAGAAAACTAAGTTGAATCTAATTACATGTGACTAATTATCATGAGGATAAATTGCCATTAAATCAAATATGATAGTTAAGTTCGTCATGACAATTAAAAAGGAACTATCTGACCTGTGTTTTTATTTTGTTGGTCAGAACCAGATTTGGAAAATATATAAAGTTCCGTTTCTCTGTTATTTCTAGAAATAAAAAATTATGTGGCAATTTGAAAAGAAAAACTTGTACTATCTCCTGAAAGCTGTGGAAGCCCTCATGGCTGTTTTAGAAAGTTCAAAAGGCTGGTTTTAAGGTTGAAATGCCTTTGCATTATACTTGCCAAGTCAGTTATTCATGCATTTATATCAAGTAACAGTAATGAATTTATATAAACTTGGCATTTTATGTTTGAAGCTATCAGCTTTGCCCAGAGAAAGAACAAGTTAAATCTCAGTATGAACACCATTAAGAAAGTAAACAAATAATTAACTTGGAAGCAGTAAATCAAAGAGAAATTTAGATATTATATTGCATATTATATATGAACTGACAGCCATCCAAACAGAACCAATATACTGTATGCAATAAAAGATGATGTCCCATAGAATGGGACTATATTTTTTTTCCTCCTAATGTCAATCAGATGTTGATAGAAATGGACCGACTAGCTTATCACTCAAGCCTGACAGTGGGCTGGGAAAAAATGAATCACCCAGCAGCTTTCATGCCTAAGACAGGATTAGAACCCACAGTCTTCTGGTTTCTAGTCTGGTGCCTTGATTACTAGACCAAACGGGGTCTCAAGCATGGGGGAGATATATCTATTCTGATCTAAGCAAATCAAGTTGTTATTTTTTACAATTATCTTTGATGATGTGTTAACTTTAAGAGTCCAAACCAGCGATGCTGGTTCAGGAATTCTGGGAGTTGAAGTCCACGAGTCATAAAAGAGCCAAGGTTGCCTACCCCTGGTCCAAACTATCCATTTCAAACGTACTTTGGAAAGTGTGACTGCAAGGCCCATGAACAAACTGCCAGAGTAGTCCAACATAAGCACTGTTCATATTTATATTACTGTGTTATTAAAACTGGCTCTCTGGTTTTATTAGCATGTCTGAAATATGGATAACCGATCACAAAGTTGTTTCTTTTTAAAGGCAACTAGACTTTCTTATTCCTTGAACCTGAATAGTGCAACACAGTCTACAACACAGTCCTTTTGGCAGTTCCAAGAAGGCTCCACACCCATGTACACAGGGCACAGATAAACCTCCAACTGGCCTCAATGACTTTCTAAAAGAATGCTAACCACCAGATGACTGCAAGGAATATAAATCCTTCCATTCTCCACTGTTTAGTCAAAACTGAAGAAGCTCCTTGGATGAGAAATGAAACATCTTCAAGGAAAAAACAAAGTCTAGTTGCCTTTTGAAAAAAAGCACCTTTGGGACAACCATGACCTGGATGACTGAGAATCTCCATCGATAACCAATCACATTTTCTCTCTTCTTGTAAATGTATTTAAGACTTTAAATAAGGTCTTTTTTCTACTTATTCTGCATGTTACTCAAAATAAAACTTTTATTAA